CACCCTTTGGGCCCTGTCCTGCGGATTTCCACGTAGCTCCAAAGGGACAGAGGAGATACTGTGATAGCGGTAAAATGTCCGCACATTCTCCCCCGGTTTCTTTGACATGCGGTTCGAAGTCACCTGTGACCTTTCTCGTGATGTGGTAGCTCCACTGCTGTGAGGAGTTGACTCAAGACGGTATGAAACCCTTCTGTGTGAAGTGATGATGTGTCACTGTTGGTCAAAATGAAAGTCGGCCTTACGCCGGTACGGTGTACCTAAGACAAGCCACTAATACTTGTGTATGGCTAGAAATCCTGTTGAATTTCGTAATATAAAAACTTGAAATGGAAATTGTGCCTTGGCAAATACGACTTTTATTGAATGTAACTTGTGCAATTTATGTATCCTGTGCAGTATGGGTTAAGGACTTGATTGTACTCAAAAAGGCATCTAGTCTTCCATAAGTCCCCCCACCTTGTAAAATGTATTGATATTTACTGTACATAAGGTTCTACCTTAGTATAGTTTCTCTGCAATAACTTCTGCTGTGTTTTTATTTTTTTTGACAGACTTTAATTTAGCTTATTTTGGTTAATTCATGAGTGTTAATTTTTGACTCTTACTTGACATTATGCTACAAGTGACATGAAGGAAACTATCTATAGATGAGCTTTTTTCCCTGCTTTTTGAAGCAGATAATCACAAAAATAAATGTAATTTAATACAAGTGAATGAATCTATCCTTCTAAATGTATGCCTATTATTCTTTTAAACTATTAAAACAGAAAATTAGAACATCTGTTTTTAAAAAGCAGAAAAGAAATCTGATTTGTAAAAAGTCATGTGGGATACAGCAGAAAGCTAAACCTATTTTTTTAATTATTATTATTATTATTATTAATTTAGTATGTATCTTAACAGCAAGACCGATGTTCTATTTAAGTTGTGCATTGTGGTCCCAAATGGAAGGTGATTAAGTCTTCTATAAAGAAGTAGTAATCAAGTTGTTGAAAGTAGGGGTGTAGGGGTTTGGTTTTTTTTCTTCCCCTCTCAAGTGGTTGAGTACTCCACTACAAAGTTACTTTGAAAACTGTTCTCTGGTTGAGGAGACCAGAAAATTTTGTGAATTTACAGGATTTGTTAATTGGCTAGTTAAGCACTTGCAATACTCTCTTTCATATATTCAGTGTTGGTTCCTTTCCTTTCTAGATGCCATACCAAGTGCAGATCAGATTCGTATAACAACATCTTTAAAAAGCCAAAGAGGATCAGTGTGGACAAAAAACAAGTCAATATTTGAATATTGGGAAGTCGAAGTGACCTTTCGAGTTACAGGAAGAGGCCGCATTGGAGCTGATGGATTGGTATTAAGAATTTGATCTAACTGAAGAAAACCAGACATGCTTTAAATAGTGAATCTTGACTTAAAACTCTCACTTGCTTTTTGTAATAGGCAATCTGGTTTACAGAAGAGCAAGGCTTGGAAGGTCCTGTTTTTGGGGCAGCTGATAAATGGAATGGTGTTGGAATTTTCTTCGATTCCTTTGACAATGATGGAAAGGTTAGTTGGAAGCAAACTCTTCTAGCAAAGATTATAAATCAATTTCCTGCCTCTTTTGTACATATAACTGTGGAAAAAAATAAGATGTTATTTTCCTACTCTCTCCTCCTTCATTTTGAAGGGATAAATTAAAATAGTCAAGTTTCCCTTATAGATTTTTTTACTAGACTTTTTCACACTTGTTTTTTTTAAGCTTGAAAGTTGAAGCATAACACATAATGAATCTCCACTGAATGTTGGTTCATGTGTTAGGTTTGGAGGGAAAATGCCATGTACATATGTACAAGCTGAAATTTGGAATGTCCATGCACAATATATCTGAAGATGTGTGCTTTGGAAGAGGCATATTGTACCACAGTATGACCCTGTGGAACCACAAATTTCTGTGTCTCTCTTCAGAGATGCTCTTTTTCTTGCAACAAATCTGTCTTGAGTAGTTCAACAGCAAAAATTCTGTAGCAGATGGGGGTGAGAGTTGCTGTTTTGAATTTCCAGTTTTCCAGTCCAGAATGATCCTGGAAACTTTTAACATTACATAGTAGCTCTGTTCTGCTTCTATGGCTTTTCCTGCGCTACTTTGGCTTGCTTTTATATGTTCTAGATGTATTTTTGTAGGTGTACAAGCTGTTTCCTACAGATGGCTTTTGATATACAGGAAACTTTGTCATATATAAAAGTTGAAAGACTGAGGGTGACGTTTATGTTTCTGATCTTCAAAGACAAGACATAGAACTAGAGTATTGTTCAACTTACTAAGAATTTTTAAATCCTTTTTTTTTTTTTTTCCTCTTTTTTTTCTGACTTCTGGAATGAATATGGACACTGGTGTAGTTTCGCTGGCTGAAGACGCCATCTATCAAAAATTGTGTGTGGACAACACTGTTTGCCAGAACATTGATAGCACTGGGACTCTGGTCATGACAAGTTTAGTCAGTGTGGTGTGAAACCCTTTTTTTAGAAAGTGATGATGTGTCACTTCTAGTCAAAACAAAAGTCTTCGTCATGCCTTTATTAGTCTGACATGTCTTAAATATTGGAGTTTGTAAGACTTTTTTTAATGACAACCTGTTACTTTCTTCAGTCCCAGTATGGAGTTGCTGTTCTTCGTGCTGTTTTAGTGTGTTCGCTAGAAGATGTTTGGTGCTGTAACTGGTCTTAAGCCTAACATGCTAGCATCCAGAAATAGACTTCATCTAGTACTGCCAACTCAAAGCACCGTGGTTATGATGCTGACTGAAAAACTGCAGAGCTTTTTTTCTCTAACTCCTAAGGTTGTAGGTTGTACTAGACTTGAATTTTTAAATAAAAATTTAAATAAAAATTCTACAGAGAAATCTCTGTAGAAGTAGTGACAAGAGCTTTTTAAAAAGAGAAATACAATTTCATAGCTCTGAACACCTGAAATTACACTAAATGTCACAAGAGTTTACAGCACATCTTTCCTGTGACCTCTGGAGGCAAAAAATTGAGAAGTTATTCCCCACTTTAGATTCCCTACTATCTTTCAAGCTCTTGTATGTGCTTGGATCCAGACAAGATCCCCAGCAGAAATTGGACCGCCTATCGACCATTAACATTGAATACTTTTGTTAGTAGCTGTATACTATGCTGTAAGGTAGATTAGACTTGAGTTGCATTCATGAGTGCTTCGAAATTGAACTCTTTGTACATGCTTTGTGCAGAATATATGCAAGTGTGCTCTGAAGTAATTCAATACTACTGTTGTTAAACTGAAATAAACAATAAGAAGATGACATTAAAGTATTCCAGTGGTACTGAGCAGGTAATACTGATGTCAAAGCAACTAAACTAACCAAACTCCATTGCTGAGAAGTAGAAACACTGGTGTATTTCTGTATACTGATGTACTGTTCTGTTGTTGTCACAATCTGTGTGATGAAGGAAAAGATACAGATAGTTTGGTTGTAGTGTTTTTTTGAAGACAAAGGACCACCCTACCCCACCACTGTGCATTGAGGAGGACATTATTTCGTGACTTCTTAAAATCGGCGTCTTGTTGTTTTCTTTTCTTAAGAGCTGGTAATCTGTCTAGTGGGACAGTATATTCCTTTATGTTGTGGTTTAACCCCGGTAGGCAGCTAAGCATCACACAGCCGCTAGCTTACTCTCCCCTGGTGAGATGGGGGAAATGTCCCCCCTTCCTCCTTCCCCCAGCTTTTATTGCTGAGCGTGATGCCATATGATCTAGATATCTTTTGGTCAGTTGGGGTCAGCTGTCCTGGCTATGTCCCCTCACAACTTCTTGTGCACCCCGAACCTACTTGCTGGTGGGGGACAGTGAGAAGCAGAAAAGGCCTTGAGGCTGTGTAAGCAATAACTAAAACATCGCTGTGTTATCAACACAGTTTTCATCATAAATTCAAAACATAGCCCCATACAAGCTACTATGAAGAAATTTAACTCTATCCCAGCCAAAACCAGTACACTTTAGGAGATGATGAATTGAAATGTTGAAGGGGGAAAGGAGATTAACTCTGAAATATTGTGCTTTTGTAAAAACTTGAGTTCACTTCATAAACTCCTGGAGGCAACCAGAATAGCAGTGTAAATCTGTTAAATCTGTAAAATTATCATTTTAGCTTGTTCTCATCCTCTAGTAATTTAAATAACTGGGGATGTGTTTAACAGACTTTGTTTAGTCTTTGACAGATAGCTCCTGAGGCTTTTCTAATGAGTGTGACGAGGTCAGTCAGATGTCAACATAGTGTCTGTTCGGATGTTTTTCCCAGTGTTACGTAGCCAAAGTTGGATGTATTAAGTCATCTATTAGTTTTAAGATCTGTATCTTCGCTACATATGAATTTTTCCTATCTGTGGCTTTTATATTTCTATATTTGTCAAATGATGGTAATTGGTGGTATATCCAGAAAGTTAATTTGTGTGGTTTTTTTCACCCCTAACTATGCAAAGAATGTAGCAGTCTCTTGCAAAGCATGCAGCGTGACACAGTGCTACTCAGTAATTTTGCTTATGTAATCCTGAAGTACAGAAAGAATAAAAACATCTGTGGTGTATCTGTAGTGTAATGACTTCAGGTGCTTTATCGCAGAAAGGCTATCAGTGATGTTACTTATGTTTCACTTCGAATTAAACTATTCCATTTGTCTGCTATTTCTTTTTCTAGAAAAACAATCCTGGAGTGATTGTTGTAGGCAACAATGGAAAACTTCTGTATGACCATCAGAAGTAAGTTTATTTTCAGTGTTAATGATGATGTTTGCTTTTGAATGATGAAATGTTGCATGAAACTCTTTGAGAAACATAAAGGTTTCTTTCACGTTAAACTTTGTTTCCTTTACATTTGAGTTTTTCTATTTGTTAAAACACTGTTTGGGCAGTAACAGCACAGAAATTGGCAACTGATGGATATTTAAATGGCATGTGTTCTTTGGGATGGGTGAACTCAGATAAATGGAGGTACAGACTTTTTACCTCTTCATTGCTTATGGATATCTTCCACACACAGCTAATAACTGACAAAAGTGACTAACTGAAAGCTAATTGCCTGTTACTAAAATTAATTGGTTTAATTTTGATTTCTGATTGCTTATTGTCAACAGCACAATTGACAACTTTTGGGATTCTCTGAGAAGAGGTGTCTAGCTTAGTTCGTGCAGTCCAGACTATAGCTTATTTCCATCTCACTTCACAGGTGTGGGAATATACCTTAGAACCAAACAGATTTCCCCATTACTGCATTCTATTTGTATTGTGTCCTGTGTAAAGCATCTAGTACTGTTGATCCCAGACTTCAGAAAAGCTCAGTGCAGTTGTGGGACAGCTTTTGAAAAACTTGCATATTGAAAAACTATCATGATGTTGCTTAGTGATACATGGATGCTTTTTTGTCTTAGCTGATAAATCATAAGATATAGTTTTATGCAAGTTGTCTTCTTGCATAGTGATGGTTCCACGCAAGCATTGGCATCCTGTCAGAGGGACTTCCGTAACAAGCCCTATCCTGTTCGAGTAAAGATAACATACTACCAAAAAACATTGACTGTAAGTACTCTGAAATAACATCATTACTCATATTTCTCACCTTTTTAAGTGTGAGATTGTTGCAACTATTTGAAAACCCGAAGACCCCATATGTTAATTCCAATATTCTTGAAAATGTTGAGCTCAGTAGCAGAAGTTGGAAGGAGGTGCAGTATGTTCAAATTCTAGGCAAGTGCTTTTAGCTACATTAGTGCATCTGTAGTTTCCTGAGCTGACTCAGCAGGTATTGCTGATTTTTCTGATGTTACTAGGAGTCAGTTGTGCTAACATATGTGCTCAGACCCTTCTGTTGCTGTTGATTTGCCTGTAGAGGTGTCCCAAAGCCAGCATCTGTTCCTCAGCTTCCAAGCAGTCGAGCAGCTCCTTAACTTGAGCTGATCCGAGAGCTGCAGAGGATTTTGTAGCTGATTGTAAGAGGTTCTTGAAATGTGACTGAAAAAACGAAGCTCACTCTTTGATGGTAGATTTAAATTTGCTACTTGAGGCTTCCTACCTCCAAGAAATAGTAGGGCTTTGAACGTTAAAGAAGATGGAAAACAACTGGTATGAGAGAGTCTTCAAGACTTCTTAAATACTATTCAGATGACTGTGAATTCCTTCTAGATAAAGCAAGAAAGATACTAATGTGGTGCTGGGTTATGACAGCTATGAAGTATGTGTTTCTTGTCTTCTGATTTCTTCTGAAAAGGTGCTATTCATAGGTATTAGCCATAAAACACACAGCTGTCATTTTGTAGTAAAAGTTTCTCTAAAAGTAAACATGCATGCACCTAAAAGAGGTGGACCTTGTACTGTGTTGTAATGGTAAAAGCTATCTGTTACTCTTGAATGAAAATTAAATTTCAGACTCCAAGGCTGCTCTCTTTCTGAATGCACCTGGTCCCTGATGCCTTATCTAGGAACTCCTCTGGCCCAAATGTTGCTGCTAACCTTAGCAGTTCTGCAAATGCATCCGTGGAAGGAAGAGAGAATCTCTCTAAACTTAGAATCAACCTAAGAACAGTAAGGGATGACTCTTCTAGGTCAGACCAAAAATTTGTGTTGCCCAGAACCTTATTCGGATGTGTACTTTTTATAGACTAGCCTTTAATGATCCCCGAGTCAAGGATTTCTTGAACCAGAATTGATATTATTACGCCATGATCAGTTTTAGAATAGAATAGAATAATTCCATTTGGAAGCGACCTACAATCATCGTCTAGTCCAACTGCCTGACCGCTTCAGGGCTGACCAAAAGTTAAAGCATGTTGTTAAGGGCATTGTCCAAATGCCTCTTAAACACTGACAGGCATGGGGCATCGACCACCTCTCTAGGAAGCCTGTTCCAGTGTTTGACCACCCTCTCGGTAAAGAAATGCTTCCTAATATCCAGTCTAAACCTCCCCTGACGCAGCTTTGAACCATTCCCATGCGTCCTATCACTGGATCCCAGGGAGAAGAGATCAGCACCTCCCTCTCCACGTCCCCTCCTCAGGAAGCTGCAGAGAGCAATGAGGTCGCCCCTCAGCCTCCTTTTCTCCAAACGAGACAAACCCATAGTCCTCAGCCGCTCCTCACAAGACATGCCTTCCAGCCCTTTCACCTGCTTTGTTGCCCTTCTTTGCATTCAAGTACACATTCAAGTACCTTAACATCCTCTTTAAAATTGTGGGGCCCACAGTACTCAGGGTGAGGCTGCACCAATGCTAAATACAGTGGGATAATCACCTCTCTTGACCAGCTGGTTATACTGTGTTTAATGCAGCCCAGGATGTGGTTTGCCCTCTTGGTTGCCAGGGCACACTGCTGACTCATATCGAGCCTACTGTCAATCAGCGCCCCCAGATCCCTTTCCGCAGGGCTGCTCCCTAGCCACTCCTCTCCCAGTTTATACTTGTTTCCAGCGTTACTTTGTCCCAGGTGCAGAATCCAACATTTGTTCTTGTTAAATTTCATGTCATTGATGATTGCCCAATGCTCCAGTCTATCTAGATCCCTCTGCAAGTCCTCTTGTCCCTTGCGTCAACAGCACCTCCCAGTTTAGTATCATCAGCAAACTTACTAAGGCTGTGTTCAACTCCTGCATCCACACCAGATCATTGCTAAAAATGTTGAACAGCACTGGCCCTAGGATTGAGCCCTGAGGAACACCGCTGGTGACCAGTCGCTAGCCAGATATAGCCCCATTCACTGCAGCCCTTTGAGCCCTGCTGTTCAGCCAGTTCTTTACCCAGTGCACCATGAACCTGCTCGTCTCACAGTTGGCCAACTTGTCCAGACAGATACTGTGAGAGACAGTATCAAAAGCCTTATTGAAATCCAGAAGAACTACATCCACCACCTTCCCTTCATCCACTAGGTGGATGACCTTATCGTAGGATATCAAATTAGTTCACTTTCCCTTCGTGAACCCATGTTGACTGTGCCTGATGATTGCATTGTTCTTTAGATGCCTTTCAATAGCACCCAGTATGATCTCCATAATTTTTCCAGGCACTAGACTAACAGGTCTGTAGTTTCCTGGGTCTTCCCTCATGCCCTTCTTGTAAATTGGAATAATGTTGCCTAGCTTCTAGTCAGTGGGGACCTCCCCAGACTCCCAAGACCTTTGGTAGACAATTGAGAGGGGTCCTGCTGTAACATCCGCTAGCTCCTCTACTCTAGGATGAATCCCATCCGGCCCCATGGACTTACGAACATTCAGCTGGTACAGCTGGTCCCTTACAATTTCTAAAAGTTCATTGTCCACAAATGGGAAGTCACGGCTCCTGCAGCTGTGGTCCTGCAACTGGGAGAGGACCAGGCAGCCTAAGGTCTATCAGTATTAGTACAGACTAAGGCAAAAAAAAGAGTTGAATGCCTCTGTCTTTTTTTCATCCCTATTTGTCAGGTGGCCATCTTCAACAAGTATTGGTCCAATGTTTTCCTTGGACCTCCTCATGCTATTAACATACTTAAAAAAGCCTCTCTTGCTGTCTGACACAACACTGGCCGGTTTCAACTCTTGAGCTTTGGCCTCTTCTGTCTTCTCCCTGCATATGCGAACCACAGCTCTGTAATCTTTCTGCAAAGCCTGACCTTGCTTCCAGAGATCATATAATTTCTTTTTCCTTTTGAGTTCCAAGAGGAGTTCCCTGTTCAGCCAAGCTGGTCATCTGCCCCACTTGCTTGACTTTTGACACAATGAGATTGCCTGTTCCTGTGCGAGGTTCTTTTTAAAAAAAAAAGGTGGTTCTTAAAAACTGACCAACACTCATGGACCCTTAAGCCCTCAAAAGCAGTTCCTCAGGGAACACTGGTAGCTAGCCCCCTGAGTAGCTTAAAGTTTGCTCTCTTGAAATCCAGGGTAGCAACTCAGCTGACCTTTTTTTCTTATCACACCAAAAATTTTTACATCACCCATTTCATGATCTCTGTGGCTGAAACAGCCACCTACCATCACACCTCCCCTGAGTCCTCCTCTATTCACAAACAAGTCTAGGAGGGAGTCTTTCCTAGTTGGCTCACTCAGTACTTGTGGTGAGAAATTATCTTCATCTTCAGGAATTTCCCAGACTTGCTTGTCACAGCAGTATGGTATTCCCAGTTGATGTCTGGGAAGTTGAAATCTCCCGTAAGGACAAGGGCTACTGATCCAGAGATTTCTCTTAATTGCCTATAGAATAACTTATTATTGCTATCATCCTGGCTGGGTGATCAATAGTGGATGCCCACAACGACATCTGCTTTGTTTTCCATCTCCCTAATCCTCACCCAGAGGCTCTCAACCACATCATCTCGAACTGTAAGGGCTGTACAGTCAAACCTCTCCATTACATACAGTGTCACACCTCCACCTCACCTGCCCTGCCTATCCATCCTGAACAGCCTATAGTCCTCCATCCCAGCACTCCAGCTGTGGGACTCATTTCACCAGTCTCACTAATACCAATGACATCGTAGCTCTGGGAACAGGCCAATGCTTCCAGTTTGTCCTGTTTGTTTCTTATACTGCATGTGTTGGTGTACAAGCATTTCAGGTGTGCTCCTAAGCCCTCAGTGCTCCCTGGAACAGCGTAAATGCTCCCGTTAGCACCCTCAGGCAGTGCCATGCCATCCCTTGGCTTACCTTCATGTCTTCTGATGGTATCCCTTTCCCCCATGTGTTCCTTTCCACGTACTAATTTGTCTTGCTCCTTCTTATAACTGAAACAAACACATTTTTATATGTGTCTGAATTCTATGTGGTATGTTCTCTTAGGTGATGAATAGAAAAAGTTGAATTTTGTTCATGCTGAACTTTGAACCAGGCCTTTTGTTCCTTTTTAAAATAGAAAGCTTATGCATTTTCTTTGTAAAAAGTGTCTTTCAGAAAAGAAATAGTTTTTGGTTTCTAGTATCAGCTGCTGAATTATCCGATAAGTTGTATTTGTGACCATTACTGTAAACTGACAAAGCAATTAACACAGATTTATGTGGTAAAAATCTGTGTTTATCCTTTTAGGTATTAATTAACAATGGCTTCACTCCAGATAAAGAAGACTATGAATTTTGTGCGAAAGTGGAAGATATGGTGTTGCCATCACAAGGATATTTTGCAGTATCTGCAGCAACAGGGGGACTTGCAGGTAGCAAATGTTAAAAATTGTGACAAATGGTACGGAGACTTGCAGGGCTTGCAAGAGAGTTGGTTTTTTTTTTCACTGCTAGTGTTGATCCATTATACCCATTTTTGACCATGATGATGTAATTAATCCTCTCCCATTCCCAAATTACTGATACGGTTAGGCCTTTTCCTGGTTAGAGCAGAAGGACTTTCAATTTGTCCTGCCAAAGACATTGTGCAGTCTCATTCCCCACTGCATAAACTCTTGGGAGGACTTTGGGAGGATGCTGTTGCCTGAAGATCCTTTGCAAGTGCAAGGTTGACTTGGGAAGTACCAGGATTTGTAACGTATAGCAGTAGCAATTAACAGTGTTTTTTTGTTTTGTTTGTTGTATACAGATGATCATGATGTCCTGTCTTTTCTGACCTTCCAGTTGACTGAGCCTGGAAAGGAAACAGTAAGCATCTTTATGCATAATTAGTAAAATATGTTATTGTATATGTTTTATATGTAGCACCAGATTATGGCATTTCCTCTGAAGTCATACTTGGCATCCCTGTTTCAGGATTTTGGCATGTAGCTGTGCTGTCATCTGTTTTAGAAAAATGAGACTAATACTGTAATGTTTTGGTAATATTTTAATTAACATTTTCAAGACCAGAATTCTTGAAGCAACACTGAATCAACAAAAATCCTGATGTTAAAACAAAACATGCAGAGGAAACAAACTAGAAAGTACACTTTGTTTGGAAAGTGGACAAATAATCTGTTCTTGCTTTCAACTTCCCATACCTCTAGAACACTTCTGTACTGCTAAACAGCATCTATCTTTGTAAAACTTGATTTCTTTTTAATCGCAGAAAGTACACAGGTATCAGGAAAAAGCTATGGGTCTCCGTAGGAATGTCTCGTTTCTCACTCCAACTTAATATATTAATGTGCTCCACTAATTGTGTTACGTCTTCAAATCTGAACAGCCTTGCTGGAAAATAAGTTATATAGGAGTGGTGGTGAACATGAAAAAATCTTCCCCCCCCCCCCCTTTTTATAATGTTTTAAAGCCAACACCAGATGCAGAAATTCCTCAAAAAGATAAAGAGAAGTATCAAGAAGAGTTTGAACACTTTCAGCAAGAATTGGATAAAAAGAAAGAAGAATTTCAAAAGGAACATCCTGATGTGCAAGGACAGCCAGGCAAGTTATTTGAGCTATTTTTCAGTTGTCAAGGAAAACATTTGCTTTCCAGGATATTCAGAACTAGGGCCTGATACTCTGACTGATCTTACTAAGCTCCTACTGATGTTACTAACTTTATTTAAGAATCTTTTGTCTTTTGTTTGTGAAGTGTTTTCTGAAATATAAAGTCCCTTTTGTCATGCCTGGATTGAGAACAAAACAAATGAACGGAAACATGATGGGAACAATGAGAATCTGTATGGAACAGTAGAAGGGAGAGAAGGTCATGCATCCCTCTGTAAAGTGATGATTAAGGAAGCACGGCCTTTTTGGTTATTTGAAAATAAATTTGAAAGGTCATTTCTTTGGTCTGTTTCTGCACATTCATAATAAACATTTTTCTTCCATCTTGTTTTATGGATGGTTATTAAAGATGGGCTAGTGGATGTGCTGGAACATGTGTTTACTTGGAAAAACTTTTTAATGCTTGCCTAATATTGGACACGGGTTGAGTTCTGTCAATTTCAGCACCACAGCATTAGCAGGCATTCAGTATCGGTGTTTGGGTTGGCTAATAACCAAATTTCTAGCTTGGTGTTGTTAAAAACAGTGGCCTTTATTTTTACATTTTAAGCTATTGATAAGAAATTTAAGTTTGGCTGGGTAGGGCAGAATTGCCTTTTCCACTATTGATACCACACATCTGCAGCTCTCAGCAAGCATTGGTTTAAAGATATTTCAGACTGAACAGCATTTTTCCACTGATTTCAAATGATATTTAATTTAGGAAAATTACAATAATGACTCTTGCCCACTTTTTTTGAGTGTTTAGCCAAAGTGCTTTGACTTTGATTGTTCTGCTGTGGAACATGGTGGGGGTTTTGTTTGTTTGCTTGGATTGTTTTTTTAAATTTTTTTTAATTTTGTTTTTTAGAGCTGGGCAAAAAAGAATCTCCTTATTTGAAAATATAATGGAAGCCAGTCTATTTCTTGCTTTTCTGGATTGAATTAGCTGTATTTGAATGCACACATATCAGGAATGTACTTTACACATCTAGACCTGAAATTTCAGGTTGTCATCTTTTTTTTTCCACAGTGATAAGTTATGATTGTTCTAAAGGTCCTACACCATTTTAACTTCATCTGTGTTTTTGAAATATTGTCCAGCCTTCCATTGATAAGAAATAATAATAGTTTTGTCACAGAGTCTTTTGGACTTTCTTCTTTCCTATGTTGAAGCTGTGGAGAAACTCACTCAAAATGTACAGTCACTTCTCTATTTCAAGCTACTTCTTAAAGCTTACTTTTTCTAAAAAGTAGCTGTTACTTAATACCTGCAAATCTCTTCTGAAGGATAGTTGGTAATGTAATGCTAGCTTACGCAAAGATAGCTGCCTCCTAATAATAACAGCATCCTGTTTCCATTTTATGTTGCACGTTATCCAAGTGTTGAAGTAGGAACTCTAAGATGGAGTCTGGGTTTGAACGTGTGGTTCTCTGTTCAATTCCTCTGATCCCATTTGGGTATCCTTTGCCATGGCAATGGTGATAAATAAACACCAAATATGTCAGATTATGGGGAAAAAAGTATATCCATGTGGAAACTTTTAAGGGTGCAAGAAAAATTATACAATGCAACTTATGAGGAATGCATATATGTAAGAACTACCTGTGCTTTTTTCTTATCAGCGGATGATCTTTTTGAAACTGTAAGTGATCGTGAACTGAGGCAAATCTTTGAGGGGCAGAATCGAATTCATCTTGAAATCAAACAGCTTAATAGGCAATTGGACATGATTCTGGATGAGCAGAGGAGATATGTCTCTGCAGTCACAGATGAGATTGCTAAAAGAGGCACTGGTTTTCCAGGTCAACAAGGACAGGTAAATAAATGAAAAAAAAAAAATACTGTGATTGATAGCTCAGCCTAATTTCAGCAGCATGATCGATTTGCTTTTTCCAAGATATGTTGATCTTTTTCTCCTCCTCCACCAGGTTTCCCAGCAAGAGATTGAGACAGTTGTGAAAACTCAAGAAGAGGTCATTAGACAAGTAAATGAAATAAGGTAAATGCTTTGTAAATATTAAGGCTGTGTTTTGAATTTTATATTATTTGCCACCTTTTAAATCCTATTTAGTATTTCAGTAGGAGAATGTTGACAAACTTGAAATTTCTCTGTGTCAGTTCCTTAGTGATGACTCTCTGCATACATTTAATTTCTATAATAAAGCAAGTTCATGTCCCTCGGGTGGCTAAGCCCCCTAATTTGCCCCTTTTTTTCATCATAAGATTCCACTTCAACAGGTAAGTCCAGTCCCTCTGAAAACAATTGATTTCTGCTAATGTGATAACCTGCTACCTCATGGAAATTTGTTGCTCTAATTTTGGAGTATTGATAACATTATGAGCATAAATGCCTTTGATTTACAGCTAGTGAACCTAAAAAAGAAAAGGTGTATTGGAGTCTCTTGTCCGTATACTCAGTCTACTCCTGATATAATGATTATATGAGTTTATTATTATGTAATATTATGAATAAAATCTATAATATCATATTTAGGTAATATTATATGAGATATATTTGAGGTTTTGTTTAGTGTAAACAACCTATAAACGCATGTAGGTAATTCTGAGAAGCAGTTCTGTACAAATGAAAATGTCTGTGCATGTAATAAGAGTTGTTGAGATTTACTGCTTATTCTTCTAATTATTATTTTGTTTTTTTTAAAAGTAGTTCACTTTCTTCAGTATAGACATACATTTTGTCTTTGGGTTTTTTCCCTAATTTTGCTATGACTGCCTAAAGCTCATATATTGTTCCACGATAGTCTGTTGTGTTACTGATTTGGATATCACAAAAAGTATTTACAGTTTTATGTCAAGTCTCTCAGAATTCCACTGTGTACAAGCCTTTGAGAGACCTTTTTCTCCTCTCCTTTTTCTCCTCTCCTTTTTCTCCTCTCCTTTTTCTCCTCTCCTTTTTCTCCTCTCCTTTTTCTCCTCTCCTTTTTCTCTTCATTTCCATTGTAGTTTAATCTTTTTTATCAGTAGGAGTAGGGCTAGGCTTTGAGAGAGCATTGCTTCTTGATGGCAGTTGAAACAAGGCCCAGATCTGGAAAATATTTAATATCCTCTCTTGGCCTGAACTTTGAAAAATAAGGGGGCAAAACACAGTCCTGCACCTGTGAAGCAGTAACTCCATCCATCAGTACAGCCAGGGGACTGATCAGCTGGAAAGCAGTTTTGCAGAAAAGAACTTGGGAATCCTGGTGGACAAGAAGTTGGACATTGGACAGCAATACACCCTTACAGGAAAGACAACCAGCAGCATCCCAGGCTGTGTTATACAGCACATTGCCAGAGGGTCAAGGGACATGATTATCCCTCTCTATTCAGCACTGGTGACACCACATCTGGAGTCCTGTGTCCAGTCCTGGGCACCCCAGTACAAGAGAGACGTGGACATACTGGAGGGAGTCAAGTGAAGGATCATGAAAATGATTAAAGGGTCGGAGCATTTGTTGTACAAGGAGAGGCTGAGGGAGCTAGGATTGTATAGCCTGGAGAAAAGTCTTGGGGGTATCTTATCAATGGGTATAAATACCTGATTTTGGTGGTGGTGAGGGCGATAGAGACAGAGCCAGACTTTTCTCACTGGTACCCAGTGACAGAATTAAAGGCAATGGGCACAAACTGAAATACAGGAAATTCTATGTAGACACGAGAAAAGAAACTTGTGAAGGTAGTTGAACACTGGAATAGGTTGGTTGCCCAGGAAGGTTTTGCAGTCTCCATCCTTGGAGATATTGGAAATCCACTGTGACTAAAAATTCCTTGGTTTGTTAGGTGCTAAGACATACTGTCATACAGCACTTAAGGGGAGGGAAAAAAAAAAGGGGGGGGGGGGACATTGAAAAGCTTACTTTGCGTAGTGGAGACAGAAATGTGTTGGGTTTTTTTCATGTGCCAATGTGTTGTGTAGACCACTTTGGTAATCTTGTCCCCATTTCTTGCAGGATAGAGAAAAATGGGAAAACGTTTTTAAACTCTACTGTGATAGAAGTGCCTGTTTGTTCTTTACACATGGGCTGCATGCTCTTACTTAAAAAATACTTTTGTTATTCTAAGGGTGTGAATATTTTATGGTCTAATTTTTATTTACTGTGTGAAAACCAGGACTATCAACTGATATATCAATGTCTTTTGTAGCAAAAGATAATCACATTAAAGGAGACTGACAGTTGCAGACCCGTTTTCTTGCCTGGATGAATTCAGTTGTGTGGCACTCTTGGGTAACTTATTGGAATCTATCTGTACTCCATTAAGACTCCTGGGGGTTGTTTTTTTGTTTGGTTGGTTGCTTTTTTGTCAGAGGACTTTCTGCCAGTTAACTTTCTCAGGAAACTTCTGTATCTGCAGGGACACCTGCAAGTTCCCAAGTGATTGATAATTTTGCTTTTCAAGGTGCAGTTTTTAAAATTGATTGAGAGGTATGCTATACCTTTTCAAACTACGTTACCAAATGAAGTAAAAATCTTATCTTGAAGGTGCTATACTGCTAAAATGGATTTGAGAAAATTCCTATGTTTGATAGGAGTGTCTGTGTACTGCTTCTAAGATGTTTTACAATTGCTGTCTTTGGCAGGAATGTCTTTAAGTTGGTTTAAGCCTTCATTTACAGTAGTTAAAACATTCCTTACCTTCGGCTTAAAAAAAAGAGAAAAACAATTCCTACAACTTGATGTTGTAGTATATAAGCAGTTGTGGTTTTTTTCTTGTATTAGTTCAGGGGCAGCTCTTGTGATTTATCTAAGTAGGTCAGTTTTTTGTGGAATGAAGATTAGAGTGCTTCCATTTTTGCACTTGTTCTTCCATTAAAGCTTTTATATTAATATTCTTGACAAATCTTTATACCTTGCAAGCATATTAAATTTTCTTGTTAACATTGGCAGTCTGCCCTTTTAGTGACTACTTATTAGGTATGAGTTTGCGTAACATCATCTTAATATTTTTCTTAGATTAAAGAAATGCTTTATTTATAGATAGAAATGAACAGCCCGCTGTTTCATTGCTGGTCATCCCAGAGGAGAAGGACTTACTGTCTAAGTAATTTTCTTGTCAAGATTTGTGGATTTCTTAATCATCTGATTACAGAAGAATCTTGCATGTTCATACGATAGAAACTATCAGCATGGTATTGTTCATGCAAAAGTAAATGTAAATTAAATTTGATACAGACCATGTCTATTTAGGGAGGTTATTTTGCTTTTAACAAACAGCGGATCAGTCTGGGGGAAGGTGGGTGTGCAGATTTCTGTAAATTACCTAGGGATGGTGGTAATAGGAGGAACAAAATGAGTGTCACACTTGTGTTCTAGCACTGAAAATAGTGGGGCAAGATAAACAATGTGATGGATGTGGATAGACAGAATTACTATCAGCATTTGTTAGGCAGTGGTTGCATAGTTTGCATGGGTTATTTAAGAAAAAAAATCTTCCAGTGAAAAATTTACTTCTAAAGTAGGTGGTTATAACACTAATTCAAAGTACAGGTAAATATTAATCAATTTACTTTAAATAATCTATACAATGACAATACAAAAATAGACAATAATTTCTGGATAACGTACATGCTGATTTAAGTTAGGACAGATGAGTGGTTTTTTTTTATTCATTTTGCGTGTTTAAGTTCCAAACCAGAAATGTAGAATGCGAGAAGGTGAGAGCTGCTTTGATTAGTTTTGTTTGCAGTGGCTTACAGAAGCAAACAGCTGTTTTTTGGTAACTCCTTTTGATAACTTTGTAATATTAAAAACAAGCTTATTGAGGTAAACATTGAGAGTTTTGCAGAAATCCATGGCTAACTCTATCTGGCCTAGAGTGCAGTACCTTATCTGGAATAACCGGAAATGTAACTGTGAAAAGTGATTGATCTTCTAATGTGCTGGAAGTGGGATTGAGCTTTTACAAAGATGACAGGAAAGGTTGAATTTTTGGATCTTTTGTTACTAAAAGTGAAGAGAATTTTTTTTTTTGTTATGTGAGAAGTATGCAGAATACTGGTAGTCTAGTATGTTAAGTTGATTTGTGTGTTAAAGTGATATTTTTAAGAAAAACTAGTAGTCTAGTTTGAAGAGAAGTATATTGTTAATCCAGCATTTAGTAGGGGCTGTAATTACTAAATGCCCCTTTGTTAAAGTGGTGTATTTGCAACTTGATATAATTGTGTAGATTAATTTAGTGTGTGGCTTTGACTTAGTATGTAGCTGCTTCAAGTAGTTGAAACATGCTGCATAGTTCTTATAATAGAGCAAAAGCTGCAGTAACACTAATGTAGCATATCTATGCTTGCAGTTTTTACTTCTGGAGAGTTGTCATAGTGCCTTTGAATAGATATGTACCTCACTAGTTTTCTCTCTTCTCCTGTTTTATTTTTAGTTCTGTGTTTTTTGAATTTTAATGGCATGAAGAGCAACTGATGCGAAGCTAAAAGATGGGCAACATCTTTATGAAGATTATTTGTAAACATTTAAGTTTTGATACTTAACTTGCTGTTTTCACAATGAATATGAGCCATATAAAAATCAGTAATTTTGTATAACACTTACAAATATGATTATATGTTGTTGTTGCCAGTTTACTCAATGAATAGTATTCAAGCCAGGTTTTGTTTTTTGTTTTTTTTTTCTTATGTGAAAGTCACAATTGAAAGTGTTCAAGGTCAGGTTGGATGGGGCTTTGAGCAACCTGATCTAGTGAAAGATGTCCCTGTCCATGGCAGGGCGGTTGGACCAGGTGATCTTTAAAGGTAGCTTCCAACCCAAACCGTTCTGTGAGTCTATGATAAATTGCTGACCACTGTACAGAGTTAGGACTTTACCTTGAAGGCATCAAAGTAAGCTCTCATCTGAACAAAATGTAAAGTTTTAAGTAAATTAAAAAGAAATCCAAAGATATACATTTTGATTGTTTATTCTGTTAATAAGAGATTAACATTCACATGATAAATATTTTAGCTGTAGAATAATCCTCTTTGCAACTGAAAAGAGACATCACAGTAGGGGAAAAATTATATAAACATATTGATTAGAGATTAAGTATTTTTCTCTCATTGACTAGTTTTACCTCAAACAGAATTAGTTATGGAACCTCAACTTTTTACAGATTTAATTTGATTTGTTGTAGAAGCAAAACAAATTCACATGAAGACAATATTAAGTATTATGACAATGCGTATGGGAAATGAGTTTCTCGTATAAATGATAATCATGAAACAAGGATGTATCTAAATCTTTTCTTATCCCTAAAGCCTCTTCTTTATTTTTATTTCTTACATGACTGCTTTTATTTATTTATTTTTCAAACAGCTTTTGGTTTTCTTCAAAGATTGCATTAAACTCTGCTTATCCTAAAGCCTTGGCAAGAGCCTCAGATAAAACACTTGTTTTAGACTTCATCAGTCAGGCAAAGCAGATGTCTAGCAATAGAATATTTCCCAGATCTTGTTTTCAGCGTGACTTTGGGAGATGGTGCATTGTACAAATTGAAACTGTCTGCAAAATTAAATATTTTAAAAAATCATAGTTTGATTAAGGAATTATTTCTTGATAGGTATTCTTGGAAGCTAGAAAAAACGTTTTCTGCCTTTTGGGGCAACTATGTATTTCAAATTAATTTTAATGGACTAAAAGGTGTCCAGAATAACTGCTGTTTGTAGAAAAGCTGTTCTGTGCTGAAAGATGTTTTGTTGTTTGTCTTGTTTCAGAAATTCCATGGCTGATACTCTGAGGTTGATCAGTGGAGCTCAACATCCTGGCTCTGCTGCAGGAGTCTACGAAACAACTCAGCACTTCAATGACATCAAAGAACACCTTCATGTAGTAAAGAGGGACATTGAGCATTTAGTACAACGAAATATGGTAATTTATGTGCTGGTAGTATAAAGCATGACTGTAATACTTCTTTATCTGGCTGTTAGTGAAAAGCTAGGATGAGCCAGCATGCGATTTAGGGAGCAATTAATCCTTCATTAAGCTGCTTCACTAAAACTGCACTGCCTTGACCTAACTGCATGATCTGTGTCTTGATGAGAAGTTTTGCACAAAGAGCATGATTTTTAGTCTAATTTCCTGTGGAAACAAGGTCAAGCAATTAGGTTTTCTGGGTGCTTTTTTTGTGTTTGTCCCCCTACTTAACAGCTCTGTACAGAGGAGATTCTCTATTGCTTCTGCACAGAAGGGAGAGCTTTAATCAGGGGAAACTTTGATCAGGCTCCACTTAAGGTTTCTAGCTGTGAAAGATGGCTGGGTTCACATTCAGGAGCACCTTAGTCTAGCCTAGGTAGCAATTAAGGTGAATTAGCTTATGATCCCATACAAGGTTCTTGATTTCTGGGTTAATTTACCAAAGATTTATTCTTTCCCCTATAACCCTTAATTTAACATCAGTCAGTTTATCTGAGAAACATAAAGGGGAAAGTGAGATAGGGAGTAAGATTACAATTTTTCAAAGTAGTGTCATTTCTGTCTGTTTTCTGCTTGCGTTCCAATTTTTAGATCATGTTCCAAAGACCTTGTTTTGTTTCTCACGTATAAGTCTTTTGATGGCATGTCTTGTTTGCTCTTTTGTCAAATATTGTTTTTGCTTGGTTTTTAGCCATCTAGTGAGAAATTGAAGTGTCCAGAGTTGCCACCGTTTCCATCGTGCTTATCTACAATGCACTTCTTCATCTTTATAGTGGTGCAGACGGTGTTATTCATTGGTTATATCATGTATAGGTAAGTATGTTTTTCTTTAAAGACAATAAAGCAAATTATTTTAGAACTTCTGACTGGAAATGCAATTGCAATGGTATGATTATGTTAATCTTTAAAACAAGCAATCGTTCAGATTGGAAGATACCTTGGGAGGTCTCTAGTTCAACCTTCTGCTCAAAGCAGGGTCGACACTGAATTCAGACCAGGTCACTTTAGTGTTTAGACTTGTCAGGTCTTAAAAACCTCCAAGAACAGAAAATTTACCACTGTTACGGATCCCATTGGAAATGTTTAATTATCATAATAAAATTTGTTTTATTCTCCCCCCACCGCCACAGTATATCTAGTGGGAACCTGCCCTGTTTCAATTTGACTGTTGTGTCTCTTTCTTATAATGTGCATCTCTCTAAAGAAACTGTCCCTGTCTCCTCAATAACATCTTGTGGGTATTAGAAAGCTGCTGTTAGACCCCTTGAAGCCTTTTTTTGTCCAGGATGAGTAAGCGCAGTTCCCTCCCTCTCTTCTCTTGAGGCATGTGCTTCAGCTCTTGATCACCATCCTTGTGGTCCTCTGCTGGACTTACTGAAGTTTATTAATATCTTAGCAAAATCTGATGTGATTTTTTTTTTTTTTTTGGCTATGTGTACCTACAAGCTGCTTATCCCATCTTACAAATTCCTCAGTGAACTTTTTTTACCATACATACCCCTTCATCTGTCTCCTACATATGATATTGATAGCGTATGGACTATTCCCCCTCCCCCCCCCCAACCTAATTGGAATGTTTCCTCTGTTCTCTTCTTCCTCCTTGTAATGTCATAATGTTCAAATTAAATTTGCGTTGATGGAAAGGAAAACCTATTGAGAGTAAGGACTTACTTGCTTGGTAGTCTTCCCTCCTGCTTCTCACCCACACTAATCAGGATAAGGAGTAGGGACCAAAATAGCTGCATTGCCTTTCAAAGATAAAATGCTGTTTGCTACCTCTATGGAAGCATAACTAGTATTAATATAAAACCAGTGCTGCTGATAACACTAACTTTTATTGTGTGTCTGCTTCTCTACAAAGTGGAGAGAGTGCATTTCTTATGTATGTCATGTTACGCCATCAACTGGAAAGATGGCTTCCAAGACAAATGAGGAGCTGGTCCCCTACTGTTCTTTTTGATGCCCTTGTAATTCTACCATCTGTGTGTGGTTGATCCACAGTATCTGTATCCACTAAGAAAATAAGTATGTTCTGTGCCAGAGGGAAAAGGAAATCCCATTTCAAGTAAATTCTTTCACTGCTTAGTTGCATGTGTTTCCTTTTCTGTGATGATCTTTTGGCCGATCAGATACTGAGAAGCTTTGGAAAATTTTAGTTGAAATATTTTGAAAATCAGTTCATATGTTTTTTCACAGTTTCTGGCTTCTGTCCAGTATGTTGTTTCCCTCTGTGTCTGATGTAAAATTGGAACTATAGCGATGTGACCAATGTCTTTGTAAATAGAAAAAATTATATCCTATTTTTGTGATATGACTCATATTGGATTTCCTTAAGTGCCTGTTGACAAGGAATGGAATCTTTTAATCCCCAAATAAATGAAATATTTATTTAAACGAGTTAGCTAGTTTTATACTGTAAGTACTTAATGAATTCTCTTCTGCTTTTTCTTTCAGGAGTCAACAAGAAGCAGCAGCCAAAAAGTTCTTTTGATGACCTGTTCCTTTTGTGTGTACATAACAGCAGTATGTATGCACAGAAAATTATACACTTCTGTAAATGAGGGAAATTTTAGTGCTTGATATACTTCATTATTGTAAATTATTGAATTTTGTTAAACAAAATGAGTTCTCATTTAAACTTAATGATAAAAACAGACGGAGCAGCGGAGCAAATGCTAGATAGGGGAAGACTGCGGACCCTATCTAAAACTATGTTTTCAACTAACTTTCTCATAAATACTGGAAGTCAAATGCCATATTCCTCCTCTTTTGTTAAGATTTCAGAGGAGGGAATTGAAACACCCAGGTTTGGTGGTTGTTCATAATGAGAATTGCAGGTGGATGATTTGTGCAGAAAGCTTGCCACTAAGTGTCCTGACATATCAGCTTAAAAAATCAAAAGCAAACAAACAAACCCTAAACAACTGCTCTTCTCTATTTTTTTTTTGGGGGTGGTGGTGGTGTAAAAATTTGTTACAAACATTTCATTTCTTTACCACTTGGATTTAACAGTTTAAGAATTATTTAGTTAATTCTAATTCTTCATGAAATATAGATTTAAGCACTTTTTAATATATGGACACAAAGACAGGCCTTTAACAGTCTGGCTGTTGATACCTGATAAAGAAAACAAGCTATACAGAACAAGCAAATAAAGGCTTATTGCCTTATTTTGGGTTTTGGTTTTAGGCAGTGAGAGAAAACATGATAAAGTAGTTTCTTCAAGTTTCAAGTCTGTCTGTAATTTTGTTTGGAGATTTGTGGAACTTTTTCAGTAAAGATATCATTGCTTTATACCTCTTAAAATCTGATTTTATTAAGGATGTATTTAGTGTATGAATACGTCTTTACTTTTATAAAGCTGTCTTGTGTCTTTCCTGTATCAAATACAGATGCTTTAATTTAAATGTTGACATGGCAGGTACTCTAAACTACAGATACTGAGTGTTAACCCATTTCTTCACAAGCTGTTGCTTCAGACATGTTTGTTAATCCAGCAGCTATTGTAGAACCAGTTTTGTGTGTCAATTCGTGCTTTAATATCAAAAGCATAAGACTGAACGTGTGTTTTTGATACTGTTTATCAGGTGAACATTTGCTTCAGGAAAGAAACAAAGCAGATAGCCCAAATTAGGAATGTGAAATGAACTCATTTTGCCTTGTTTACATATCTGTGGTAACTTTGTCCTTGAGTTCTTTGTGTGTAGAGTTAGAATAGGGGTTTTTGTTTGGTTGTTTTTTTTAATTCTATAAAATACACAAATGCATCAGGATATGTCACTTGTAATTATTAATCTGTTTGAATCTGCAAAAATTATCTGGAATCTAGCATACTACTGCATTCCTACAATCTACTCCCTTGGAGTGCAGCACATGCTGCCAAATTCAGTGTAATGAAGAACACTTCAGTATTGTGCCTGTCAGTTTGGAGAAATGATAAATCTATGCAATATATTTTGTTACTTAAAATACAGTGTCCAAAAAGTGGATGTCTGTGCTACACCAGTAAAACGATACTACCTATACACCTATTTACATAGCTACAGTATGTAGTATACTATAAGTGGTACAACTTTATAGATTCATTTCTAAATTTGAGAAGATTTTGCTGTGCTAATTGGAGAAACTACTGCCTCAAGTTAATCTTGCTGGATAAATAGGGTAAATCAATGAAAAAAAACTTTTCAGGTAAGCTAGAACACCACATAGGAATTTATCCATTCAGTTCTTTCAACACCAGCAAATATTTACAGGTGCCTTGAGTCTAAGCTATTACAACCCTGACTCTTCTAAGTAAACAATATATTTTCTTAAATTGTTTTGAAAATGTACAGTGTTGTTCCGTTCAATTGCAAGCCTTCCTGCATCAGTGCAACACCTAAACAGAACTCCCTCTCTCACAGCAGGCTTTGCAAGACCCTTTATACAGAAAGGCTAGCAATTGTATTTTGATAAGTAGGTGCATATATCTGGTGTAATGAGGAACAGCTCTGATGTATCAATTGGAGGAAGCCTGTATTTTTTGTTGCTGTGAATTTATCCAACCATAACTTTGTTTTAAAGCTGGAGCAGCCCATACTTTTGTGTCTTTTGTTAGAAAGAAGAGAAGGCTGGGGATGGTATCTAGAGGAAAACTTGAACCTACAATTGTATCTTCAGTATGAGGCTCAGCTTGTGTGTTTATGCTGCTAATAGATCTGATATATCTCCCATGTGCAACTAGGAAACTTTTGTATTAGGGAGCAGAAGGTCTAAAGCATAACATCCAAAAAGTGATAACTTTGCTTCATGCTTCATTTCACAGTCGTCTCTGCTTGGAACTTCCATAATTGCCTCGTCACTCACTGGATCAAAGGAAAGCTCCCAATTGCCCAGCTCAAATTTTGTCCTGTCTGTTCTTGAAGTGATAGCAACAAATTTGGACTTTAAGAATATTTGTCAGTCAATGTAGCCTCCTGTCATGGCTGGCTACTAGAAGTTTCTTTCAACACTGATAGTGTGTTTGATTCTTATCAAGTGAGATTTCAGGACTAGGAGGAGAAGACACCTTGGAATCCAGTTTGACAATATGGGGGAGACCAAGTCTAATAATTGTATTTGAAGTGTGGAGGATAAGTAGCAAATATTTGGCAGTGACAAGAGAATCTCATTGTACAGGTCAGGGTATGTTAAATACATGGTCACACCTGACTCTTTCAAAAGTAAAATTCACAGTATTGTTTGTAAATTACCTATCTTCCTGTTTGAAGAAAATTTGACATTTATCAATGCATCAATTACTGTAACACCGAAGACTGTCTACTGTTTTTTTTTAAATTCAAACAGCTGACATTTTCATATGTTTGTTTCTGTCTAATGTAAATTGACACTTGGAGTTCAGAGATAACCTTATTTGAATAAAGATGCATATTTTTAGTAAGCTTTTTTCTTTTAATTTGGTACATGTCAGTGAAATCCAAGCAAGTGTATTTGAAGCATTCTTTACCCCCTGTTGTTCAGAGAGTTTGAACACTTTGAGATCTGGGTTCAGTCCTACCTGATACTGAAGAGTTAACAGCATTCAGAGGCTGAGGCTCCGCCTGGATTGAAGAGGCAGATGACTGCCATTGAAAGATACCTGAATCCAGCCTCAGTTCATTCTGTGCCAAGGGATTATGTCCTCTGTGTTGCAGTCTAATGCAAGAGTGACTGTAACCTAAAAGTAAGAGATTCGCTCAAAAGCTTGTGTTAAGAGTATCAGACTTGCCTTGAGTATCAGACACTTAGAGTCAAATGTAAAGTAGTGTGTCAACTTCTAGGTCTCTTAACAGCAAATCGAGTTGCTTGCTGGCTGCTTTGAGTATACAAAGTACCTCATTTTTCTGAGCTGAAGATTGTCTATAGCTCTGAAGTTCTTTCTCCAGATTCCCCAAACTGCAGTCACCTGGGTGCTCTGCGCCTGTTTGTTGGAATACAACATGCCTACCCAAAACAAGTCAGTCTGTGTCTCCTTGTTTGTTTGTTTGTGTTTTTTTTTTTTTTTACTGTTCAGTAAACTGTTTGTCTGTGGTAACCTCCCACAATATGAGTGAGAATTCCCTCTTTGACCATCATTTTCCGCCAGCCAGGAGCAATTTCTCCAATAGGTGGAGGAGAGGAATCTTCAATTAAATCTATTCAAGCTGAGAAAGCCCTAAAACATTTATTTCTCTTTCTGTGCAAGTGATCTAACGTTCCGACTTGCATAAAAGGCAACGTCTTCTAGAGGGATGAAGTCGGGGGGGAGAATCTTGGTCCTTTCAAAGAACACTTAGATACTTCTGAGTTATGTGGTTGCAGTTGCCTGCTGTGACTGTGTTTTGGGAACATAGTCTCTAGAAAAGGCTGGGAGTTTGGATGCTTGCCTGCCTATAGCATTTTTGTGCTGGCCTCTCTGTGAGGCTTTTAGATTTTGCTCTTTGTGATTTGCCTGTTTCGAGACTCTGAATTCTATTCTGGGGCTGGAGATGCCTGCATTCTTTGAGTATGGAACACAGGCTTTTTTTTCGTATCGCTCAGTTCCATTAGATAACAGGAACTGAGCCTTTAATTTTTATTTCACTTAAGCTAGAGGGAAAGGATGTTGATTTAAAAGCAAAAGAAGTGTCAATCTGAGTACTTAATTAGCAGCTGTCCATATTTTTTCATTAAGCCTGTGATCCCTATAATCAACAAAAAGCGGTAAGTGGTTTGTAACTTCAAGACAGGCAGTAGTTAAAGCACCTGTCAGGAATGGGAATTATTCTGGAGGTACTAGTCCTTGTTGACACCCAAGGTAGGTGCTTAAAACTTGATGCTTTAGGTACTCAGTGAGCCATCAGTTCCTTATCAGTCTATTTGTTACTTGTATGCACAGATTTGTGATAAATATCTAAACCCACAATGAAGTGAGCAATTCACTAGCTAGCTATGTAGCGTCTTCCAGAGTTTTATCACGAGTCTCTTGTGTTTCTCAGCAGTTTCTAATAGGACCAATAACTTTTAAAGCACTTCTTGTTGTCTTCAATTTTGAACCTAACATTGGAAAGCCTTTTGCTGTTAGGAAGGTTCATGAGACCTCTCTCAAGACCTGGAGGGCAAGAGCTCTCAGATTCTCAGCAATCCCTTCCCAAGACAGTTTTCAGCTTTCTTGCCTTCTCAGTCAATTCCGTGAAAGCATCTCTTTCAGGAAGAAGGTGGTGTTAGCAATATTTCTATAAGGATCAAAGTCTATAGCCAAGACTTGTGCCCAAAATTACAGAAGCTTCTCTTCAGTAAAGATCAATAGCACAAAGTTTAACAGATACACTTCCCATACACTTAGAGAAGACTATGAGACCTAATACTGTAAAAATCAGCGCTGCATGTCGTATTTGTGAAGTGCACAGTACAGACACACTGGTGCTCCCTGTTCCTGTTAGGACAATTTTAAATAAAGATGAGCCAACCACTGCAAGTGGACTCGAGGCATTTGGCACTAAGTAGTGATGTTGTGGGACAGCATTCTAACATTTAATCAAGTGGCTGTTGAAGCACAGAGAAAATGCTAATCATCAAAAGTTACATTTATCTTAAATATCTCTTCTAGCATGCTTTTCTGTGATGCCTACCATACTGTTACTGAACTCGTGCATTTTAGGATCAGTGCATAAACAGTGCTAATATTTTACTTTAACCTGTTCGATGGTTTTTGCAAGCTGCTGAAAACCTCTTTGTGATCTGTACGTGGTTCATGCAGTATTTCTTGGCCTCTTTTGTGCCGCGTACTTCTGTAAGATACAGCTTGGCTATGGAGCTGAAGCAGATTGAGAAGATGACCTTCCAGCTACTGATGTCCATGTTGCCAGTTGTTAGCTTTGTGTTGTAAGCAGTGGATGCAAAGGTCAGCAAAACCAAAGCTTTTATCTAGAGTTGTGATGCCCTCTTTCTCTGGCCACCATCTATTTCTAGAGACGCCTGAATTGACCAAGCACCTTCTCCCCTCACTTAGGATTTTCTGTCTCCTGCTCTTGAGATCCACTGTGTTCTGAGCAGTGTGGGGCAAGTCACTTATGTGAGTCAGGCTGTAGTTTAGGAACTAGGGGTTGGCTTTTTTCAGAGGCTTGCTCTTGGAGCAGTATTTAACTCAAATAATTTTCTAGAAATAACCCTTTATTTTCATTTCTTCCTTTTAAAGTTGGCTGCGTAACAGAGAGGGATTCTTGTGGTCTTGTTCTGGCTCATGGAGTTGCCACTACTGCTCGGCAGTCAGAGTGCTCATCCAAAGACTGTCCTTCTGAAAGAGATGCTAGATTAGACCTGTTTGTAGGACTTTTCAAATACCAGCAAAGTGAGCAAGGTCTTGGTTTTAGCAGAAGGCAAAAGGGTTGCAGGTTAGAACCATCTCTGCTTGTCCATATTGTCTCCAGGCTGGGAAAATGGTATAAAAGTACCATTGAGCAGAGTCGGACAGCATTTACCAGATGATAGTTACACAATGATAAGGCAATAGCATAGGTCATGCTGCATTCTGCTGGAACTAGCATGCCTGCACAGCTACAGCTGACCTGCAGTGGACCCACAGCACTAGCTAGTTGTCAGGTCTTTTGAACAAACACAGCCTTCTTTAAAATGCAGAAGGATGGGAAATAAGGGATGCTGTCAGCTGTTCTGCCCTTTAAATGCCTCCAAGAGGCAGCAAACTGAACCAGGGAAGTCTTTGGGTGTAACAGAAAGTCAGACTGACTTTGCCAGGCCCATTTTGAAGTAACTCTCTGAGGTAGGAGCAGTGATACCTTACGTATAAACTTAATGCTGGATTTCTAGTTTTTAAATTTTGCCAGAAAACAAATTTTATTTCATTTTATGCATTCAACTTCAGATTAATGCATGCTCCAGTTTAGCATTCTCTGCTTAAATTGGGATTAGCTATCTAATGTTTATGATCTCAGTTCCGTTAGCCATTTGGGCAAATACAATACAGTTTTGGTAATAAAGGTCCGAGTTGGCCAAATGTAAAAAGTTGACTCTTCCCATAAATTCTTGCAACTTTTGCATAGTTCTGAATTGATTATAAAAAAAACAATTTTGATTTAAGAAAAATGCTTTCTGGGTATTTGTAGTATATCAAAGTAGTTTTCTTGTGATTTGGAATTCTTGCTTCTGAGTGATATTCTATTTCAAAAAGAAATTTAAAGTTTCTTGTTTAATCACTAATAATCCAGGATTACAGAACGTCCCGGGTTTGGGTTGGTTTTTTTTTTTAATAGTAACAGGTCTGCTTTAATTAGAAAGGCTCTAATACAGATTAAGGCATTAGGCAAATTGGAATCTTCCCATCTCTCAGTGAAATTATGAGAGTGCTGGGAGAACCATTTAGATAATCAAAATTACAGAATGTTTCATTAAGGCATGTGCAGTCAGTCATAGTAGGATAAATGCTCAAAACCCAAAATCATGAACTTTTGAGACCTAGCAGATGATTTCCCCAAATAGTCTTATGATCTAGGTAGCAGAGCCTGCAAATCTTCACCTGAATAGACCTGGTGAGGCTAATGGTGTGAATAAAAGTTTGAAAGAAGAGGACCTACACAAGCAATCCACAAACAAAAGATATCAAAGCTGTATTATAGCATATAGAATCAGTCAGATTCATTTCTCCTTTACTGACAGTTAAGATTAAAATACTAGGTGTTCTATGCAGCACCAGTCAAAGTAGTGATCTAGATGGAGACAGCCTGGTGGGAAGTTGAAATAAACCCTAAGGAATGAAAAGTAGGAAGATGTGATTTGCTTTTTTTGTGATTACTTGAAAAAATAAGTCATGATAGCAGTAATGCCCCATTCATCTGTGAGACAAACCAACCATATGAAAAGTGGATGAAGAAAAATCATTCAATGTACTTTCTGTCCAATGTGATAAAATATCAATGGATAAAAAGGATTGGGGTTTTTGTTTAATGAAGAATTCCAGTTTTGAAATCTCATTTGGTTGTGTAAAGCCAAACGGGTTTTCTGCTCAGTAGCCTGAATTTTACAATTTTACTATGGCCATTTAGTCAACCAGATATTTAATTCAGATCCATTGTGTTCCAGGGAATATTTTCATCTCTGTGAAAGTGAGAATTTCAAGACTGAAGAAGTCAAAATGCTATTGCACACTATAATTGATTTTTGTGTGTGTGTACAATTAGCTTAAGGTATTAATATAAAAAGTAGGTAGCTGCATCTAATCATTTTTTTTGGAGCAATCCGAACCATCTGCCTCTAGATATTAACGAGTTCACTCTTTAATCCAGATTATGGCTGACAAACTGGTTTTGGCATTCACGTTTCACTAGCATTGTGCCCTTGAAGAGCTGATGTGGCTGTAGAAACTCTCTCGCTTACAATTGTTGGTTTTGAAAACATTTTTGGTTTGGTTTGGCTTTCTTGTAGTTGTTTGCTTATAGCTCCTTTTTTCTTGAGAAGATGGCCTTTCTAATGAAAAGTATGTTGAGCAACCAGGTAAAGAATTTGGGACTTGGAGGTGGAGGGGAAGAAAGCAAAGAAGAAAGCACTCCTTCTGATCCAGCAGCAGCTGCAGGAATGACCAGAGAGGAGTATGAGGAATATCAAAAGCAAGTGGTTGAGGAGAAGTGAGTACCTGTTCCCTTATTATCAGTATGGGGCTGATTCTTGGTAACTTTGTGCAGATAAAAATAACCCAAGAAAAAGCCAAACATTCTGCACTCTTCCCTTTTTTTTAAAGCAGAAGAATCTTTGCTAAAGAGACTTCCCAAAATAAAAGTTCACCAACTGGAAATGATAAAATACGATGTTTCCCCCTTCCCCCGTCAGCCGCCGCATACACTTTCCTGCTATCTCCACACCTTGATATGCTGGATTCATTCCTAGTTGATGTTACTTTATCTATCAAATTTTTCCATAGGTACAAAGCTGCTTGTAGTGCAGGAGTTAATTCTAAGATGTGTATGATTTCTTCTCCTAGAACTCCATGTGGAGTACACTTTCAATAAATCATCTTTTCTTTGTCCACATTTGTTATGGCAGACATGAAAAAGTAATGAGTGCTATGTTAAATGGATAATATTTATCTAGAGAAAAGTTTTAAGACGGTTAGTTTTTGTAGTTGCATTTTCAGCTATTTTTTCTAAAATCTACTAAATAAAGTAGAAGTTTTCAACTGATTAAATCTCAGTTTTATTTTGTCTGTAATGATAATCTTTACCACTTGCTGTGTTTAAATATCAAAACAGAAGTAAAATAAAGGACTTAACATGTAGGAGTTCAAATAATGCATAATTATAAATAAAACAATTGACTTTTAAATCTCAAATGCATCGGTGCCTCTAATGGTCAATTACATAATGGTTGTGTAAATCCTTCGTGTAAGATGATTATGGGTGAAAGGTTAATGACTGACGGAATTTGAGGTATCCAGGTCTGTATTTAGCAGCAGCCATTTCTATCATAAAACCTTGAATAGGTATCATTTGGTTTGGAATAAAATACAGAATGTTTTGCTATGCATTTTGTCAAGGGATATTTAAAAGAGAAATAAACATCTGCTGGCAGGAAGATGCTTTATTGAGACTGAGAAGCAAAATGGGATTCCTGGAATAGGGAAAATGCTTGGAAAAATATTTCTATAAAGTTTTCAAGTGTGGCATGTGTCTGTTACGTGCTGAACTGTATTGAGGAATCGGTGCAGGAGTACTTCTGAAAGTACAGTTTGGACCTATAATAGGAACATTTGAAGTACTTTCAGAGAAAAAAAATTAACTCAGGACAGTGCACACTGGTGTGGTTATGTAAATATGTGTCAGAAATCTTTGTCACAGGCAGAGCATCTGTTTCAGGGCTCTCTGGATTTTACCCAGTTTTCAGCTGTACAAGAGTGGAGATCAGAGAAGTAGAAGTGCCTTCCTGGAGTCATACTCAGGCAGAGTTTGGCCTTTGATGCATGACCATCCTGGTTTGGGTTCTTCTCAGGTTTTGCGTTTGGGTTGGGTTTTTGGGTTTTTTTGGTGATTAAACACACAAAAATGCACAGATTGCTGTTTCTCAGGAAAATGTGTAATACGCAGGAACAAACAGGTGGCTTGTGCTGGCAGTCTCCAGCACAGTTGCATAGAATTTGCTTCCAGCATCACAAGTTTAAGCAAGAGGGTACCACCAGTTTGTGTTGTACATCACAGGCTCTTGACTGTCATGGAACTACTCTTACACCTGTTTCCTGTTCCTACAAAGCTTCATGTTCCAGGGAATCATTAGATCCTCCAGAACAAAAAGGTGTAAGATTAGGCCAGACACTAGGGCCCAAGCAATGGTGGGAGACTGGCTGAGTGAGTTTTGCCAGGTCTTCCCACGATGACAGGACAAGTGAAAAGCTCAAATCTACCTGAGCAGCAAATCCCCCCCTGCCCCTCAGCCTCATAGGACACCTAAAGGGATGTTCTGGAGAAGGAACGGGCAAGAAAAGAGGAAGGCTGAGAAAGAGAGGGAAAATATGCCAGAAGGGCTCAAAAAAGCTCCAATCTTCCCATCAATGACTGGCTGAAAGAAGTTTAAGATGGCTTCCAGTTAATGTGAAACTTTTTTTTTTTTTTTTTTTTTTTAGAGAGAGAGAGAGAAAAACCCAAAAACTCATTTGTGGAAGCAGAGGAAAAATAACATTTCATCTTGCAAGTAGCTTTTATGTGACAAAATACCTATACTGGAACAAAATCAATTTTGCCTGAGAATTTCCATGACAATGCTTCTGTGAAAAAAAATTAAAGGGAGAGGGGGGAAGGTGAATGTTATCAAATGTTACCAAAAATCTTTGAGGAGACATATTTTGCAAATAAATACATAAGTAATCTAACAAAAAATTGTGCTGAACAGTTCTTAAATCTAATTAAAGCATTTTATAAAACCACAGATAAAAGAAGTACTTTTCCACACAGGGAAGCTGTGGAATTCATTGCCGTAGGATGGTCTGAAACAATAAATGGATGCAGAAAAGACCAGGAAAATTAATAGGTGACAGAGGCCATCCAGGACTATTCAAGACAATGATGTAGAGACAATTTTCAGCTCCAGTACCCTACACCACTGATTTTTGGTAGCTGGGCAGTTTTGATACAGGATGCTTCTTAAATTCTTTCTCTAAGTGTCCACTACTGTCTACTGTTAGAGATGGGACTCTAGGTAAACTTTTGGTCTGACCCAGAGAGTCCATTCTGCCATTGTGTGTGTGTGTTGTTATACTATGAGAATGTCATGTTTGTAGAACATTGTCAGGTAGCCGCATGTCTATAAGTGCCCCAGTGGAATAAGCAAGGAACAAGCGTAACTTTTCTGTTCTGCTTATGGGAATTGTTCATTGTTATAGTAAGCAATAACAGCTAGTACAGGCACAAACTCCAGACAAGTAGTATTGGCTTATCCTTCATTCTTCACAGGTCTCAAGGGAACTGTTCTGAGAACAAGTTTGGGGTACAGGAAGTCTGGCCCCTTAGCATCACTTCATTGATATCGCTCCTTTTGTGCCTTTGGACAAGTCGCATAACTTTGGGAGTAACTCCTGCATGTAGCTTTTTGCAGCCGAGCAACTGGTTCAGTGTAAAAGACCGTATTTTATTAGTATCATGAAGAAACATTTTTTTCTCATTTCCAGGATGGAAAGAGATGCAGCGTTTGCACAGAAAAAAGCAGAGCGAGCCTGTCTGAGGGTTCATCTGAGAGAAAAGTACAGACTCCCTAAGGTAAGCCTGTAGTTTGTGATCTCATCTAGTTCAGTGGCCAATTTTAAAACAAACTGACTACCAATGCAGAGTTTTGAAAATGGCAAATTGCCTTCATTAGTGGGATCCCCACTGCAGCTCAGTACAGAAATGGAGGAGGCCAGAGCCATGGTTTTCCCTAGCGACCGCTTCTTTGGTCTTTTTTCTCTGCTCAGTAGACTAATCTGACGGAAAGATTCTTGTAACCCCTCTCTATACTGTCAGATCTGAAACAGGTGACTCGGCAAGTTGAGTATCTGGTCTGATTGTGTCTCACAGTTAGTATGCATTCTTAGCAACATGCAAAAGTTTAAAAAAAAAGCTATAAGCAAATAAGCGAAGTCCCTGAAAACTCCTCTACAAGCTGTACATTTGAGTTCTGCTAAACTTCTGAAGGTTCATTTTTACTATCTTCTTCCAAGAAGTGCAAGCAAACTGTCCATTCTTTTTTCTTTAGTGCTCCTGACACTGTCAAATATTCCCAGGAAAACCAAAATATAGACAACAGAATCTTCAAGCAACAGAGAAATCTGGAGGTTTGTTAAAAGCAGGCAGCAGCTGCAATAGCTTCTAAATTGTGACAGAAAGGAAAGTTAGCATGTGGGTTGACAGTATTTTCCTGACATAAAAACACATGGATACAAACAAGGATAGTTCTCTACTGTATTTAAAGTGTTTTCCTGGTTTAGAGGGAAAACTTTCTCCCTTGTTTATTTTCTGATCATCTTCCTTGTTTTCAGGGATTTAATTGCAGAACTCTTGTTTATCAAAGGTTTATCAAAGTACAGGCTTTAGCACTAAGCCTATACTAAACATCCACAGATCTTGCCTATTAAAAAAAAAAAAAGTAAAAAAAAAATTTTTGAAACTTGAATATTCTGGAGATTATTTCCTGTCACAAGATGGTGATGCCTCTATAGTGAAAAAAGCTGGTATCTCTTCTAGGACTGTGGGCTGGAATTAAAGTAAACTAAAGCAGTGAGAGCCAGAGAAGGATTCTGCAAAAGAATTAGGGAAGATTAGCCCATAGCAGAAATGTTAAGTGAATTCTTTGCATTCATTGTAACTACAGGATCACTATGAAGGTCCCCAGACAGGTTTCCCTATAACAGTCTCTTTTATGGGGGTGAATCAGGGGAATTTTCTCAGGTCAGTGTTGACGGAGGAGGTTGTTAAACGGTGTACAGTACACCAGGGCCAGAGTGTATTTACCCAAGAATTCTAAAGGATTTCAAATTATGAATTGCCAAAATTACTGAGGCATGTAATACTGAGTCTGACGTTTAAGCTCAGAAGTTGGGAAATGTGAAGACTTTTTCAAAAAAAGTCTCCAAGAGATATACAGGGAACAACAAATCAGTAACTGACTTCCGTAAGGGAAATGAAGGAAAACTACTAAAGATAGCTAGCAGACACATGGACAAAAATTATATGGTGGGAAGAAAAGAAATAAGACTTTTGTACCGGACAGCCCAGCCTTTCAAATCTATTAGCATGCTCTGAAGGGATGACTAATCATAAGGGTGAAAATGATTAGTTTTGGTTTAAAAAAAAAAAAAAAAAAGTTGGACAAATTCCTTCCCCAAAGACTCTTTAAAGAAAACCAACTGTGGTAGAGTGTGAAGGAAGGTCCATGAAGTATTGAATATTATTTTTCATTCATTTTGAAGAAGTGACTGAAGACTTGTTTGTGTAAATTATTATCGGGGCCTTTACTACTGTGCATTTAGGGGCTCCCTAAAATTTGAGGTTCTGCTCTAGGGCCATGGAATTGAAAGGCTTTGTGTATGTCCATGACCTTCTGGCACTTGATTGTGGCGTGTGGGTGTGGCCCACTTGTGCTGTTCAGTGTTGTCCAGAGTGGGTTGCACTGTTAACTCCAGCATGGAGAAAGTAACTCGGGGTTTTGTGCTTGGAAAAGTTATTATTATGTTATTTTGTCAGCTGCTTCCATGGGCAGGAGACAGGTAATATGGGACAGCGTAGCCTGTGTAGGGGTTTGGATCATGCATCTGCTCTGAACTACTACTACCATGAAGATGTTAGCATTTTTGAAGATTTCATTTATATCCCACAAGGAAGCATTTGGTGGTTCTTAGCAAGTTGAGAGCTTGTTTATATTACTAGTACTTACCTGCCAGCTCTGAGTCTTTACTGTTTATTTTCTGATCAGTACTTTCCAGTGCTTTTCTGATTAATTAAAATGGAGGAAGGTAAAGAATCCATCTTGTCTAAATTTAGCTGATAAAAAAATTAGTACTTAACCCAAGCAAGTCATTTAGAGACTCTGTCATCAATGGAAAGAGACCAGCACTTCTAGCCTCATCTATCCAAACTTTCAAATCATAGAATCATAGAATAGTTTGGTTTGGAAGGGACCTCTAAAGGTCATCTAGTCCAACCCCCCCTGCCGTGGGCAGGGACATCTTCAACTAGATCAGGTTGCTCAGAGCCCCGTCCAACCTGACCTGGAATGTTTCCAGGGATGGGGCATCCACCACCTCTCTGGGCAACCTGTGCCAGTGTTTCACCACCCGCAGCGTAAAAAATGTCTTC